CCATTATTAGCGGAAGGTCCCTAAAGTTGGGATTATTCTGAAATAATCGATAGTTGGGATTATTATAAGCGGACCGCCAATAGTTGGGATTATTACTATCAAATTTTCCTTTTTAATATGAAAACATAAGTTTTTGAACAATACCAATAAAACATGTACTATAATTTAGAACTCGTTTAATAACATTGAAATTGACTCGATCATTTGAATTCGTTGATATTTATGAAGTTTTGATATAGGTGGCTAGATTGACTGATTTTTCAGCTTCATGGAGTTACAGAATAAGGTTAACATAACACATTTTCAAAGACATAAAAAGTGATCTTTATTTACAAAAATGTCAATGGATTTTTTTTATTCATAACAGTGCACATTTTATTTTCAAAAAATGCACAGTTTCCAAATCCAACTTATATACTACACAATATGTAATATTCTAATATATGTTTTGCTAAGTATTGAAATTTTATACCATAATCAAATTCATGCAGAGAACATACACATTTTTGTATTCATTATTTCTATTGGGCTTAAGTCTCACACATACAACCAAAATGTTGAAATAATAATAACAAAAGCATGTTTTGTTCCGATATATCATGTCTCACACGTCTAATTGTTAATGGTTGATTAATTAATAGCACAAAATATTAGTGCTCCGACTGTTAAATTACGCTTAATTTTAAGCAGCCGCATACCCGTCCAGAACTCCCCTCATCAAAATGTCCACCGCTTGCCCCCTTTCACCACTATCTTAGCTAAGTTTCAGCTGCAATGCAAACTAAGCTGCCACTACCACTAGATCACGTTGGTGTTCCTACCACCGAAAATGACTGCTGATATTTTGATCCCACCATCACTAATGAAAATTATCGAAGCCCCCACCATGCTTTGTTTGCTCTTTCATTCAGAAACCGCCACCTAGGGTAATAAATTTTCCTATTTGTTATTATTTTACTTTGTTATCCTGATGTTATGTTTAATTTATGGAGGTAATGTTTATTTGAGTAATAGGTTTTATTATTATGTATATACGGCATTCCCAATTCAAAATTTTCCCTCTATGTTGTCAGTGGCGGAACTAGAAAATCCTGGAAGCAGGGGCACGATCGTACCAATAAAACATAAGAAATTCAATTCAAAGCTCCAATATAATGGTGCTCAACCCAACCTACGGTCCTCATGTCCCAGAAAAAATAAATAATTCAAACTATTATAAATTAGTAATTTAATAACAATAATACTTAATTACAACCATTGTAATATACTCCCTCCGGGTTAAAAAAAATACCCCATCCGTCCTGAATTTTTTTTAAGGTAACCACACAAACCTTTTCAAAAAGGAAAATGAAAATATATTTTTGGACTTCCAAAAGGGAAAGTGAGAAGATTTTTTGGGACATCCAAAAAGGTAAGTAGCAGAATTTTTTGGAACACAGATAGCAAAACAATAATACGTACACAATAAATCATTAACAAGTTTGCACTACATATGTGCATATTTTTCATATCATATTTATGAATCGTAAAACTTCAATAATGAAATATGAAATGTTTAATTTAATTAAGAAAGACAAAACGATTGGGATTTGGGAAGAGAAGACGCCGGACGCTGGACGCCAGACGGAGACTTGACAGTCCGGTGAGGCAGCGCGGTTGATTGCTCTGCCGATTGGGATTTGGGGATGCAGGATGCGGTACCTGCTACTGCTCCTAGCTTGCTTTGGTCTGATTGCATGGTTTGGGGATTTGGACTATTGGGCCTAAACACATGGCCCAACCGGCCATGAATTGTTTTTTTTTGCTGGCCACCAACAAAACGACGTCGTCCCCATTAAAAAAATACAAAATCCCACATTCCTCACCCGCTCGTCCCTAACCTCAAGACAGACGCCTGCAACGCTAATCTCTGCTTGGCTCCCTGCCGGAAATTATGGACCCGCCCGGCGGCCCTCCCCAACCGCGACCCAAACCCTCCTATACCCAGTACGTACGAAGCAGGGCACCGCCCCCCTGGCAGATCTGCCCCTGCATGTTGTAATTAATCTCTATTCCCACAAGGTGTTTGTTAAAATGCTACAATGAAATATTTATTTGATTTTCAAAAAATTAATATAAATTACCTGCATGAGTCATGACAACAATTTTGAGTATGAGTGTATTGTGTCATTCTTAAAACCTTGTTTCTCAAGCATGTTTGATTTGATTACAAACACCATTTGTTATTTGAGTATGTTCCGTAGTTATTATGTAAGTAGTATCATTTATGTTTAATACTACAATGTATGTTTTATGTGATTTCAAAACAACACACGAGGCATAATACGAAGTAGTTGATAACACCTTAATAGACACGAATCAAGAATAGCAGGTATTTGCTCATACAACAGATTCACTCATTTTGTATTTGACACATTGGTTTTGTTAATAAAGCATAAATGTTAAGTTATGGAATTTATTACAGGAATCACACTTCTCCTCCAGGAAGAATGCAAAAGCTCACCTGTTTACAAAATGAAAAGTATAAATAATCTTTAATTTTTACTTACTCATTTTTTTTAGCGAAATCAAACATCAATAATGATAAATTTTTTTTATAGGTGTAATTAAAACAATCAGTTATCTCCAATGTTTTTTTATAGATCTCTCCTGATTTATTTTACTATGAATTTACCCTATTCAAGCACTGTATTTTTTATAAATAGTCATTTTAAATGTGTTGAAATTCAAAAATTAGTTTCTTTCCAATTTTTTTAATTTTATAAATGCATGAGTACCAAAATGTAGTAATGTGTTGTGCTATAGTTGTTGGGTGTTTTATTTATCCGTCACTATATTGTTAAAGATAGACAACTTTCTCTTTTATTTCACATCAATCTTTAGCACAAAAAGTGTTTAGTTATGTGTATCATAGCTTATACACATGAAACCAAAATCCAGAAAATGTGGGAATGTGCTTTGGTAGCTGTCTTGTTTTAGGTAAAAACAACAAAGAAGTAGAAAAATCACCTCATAATACATTTTCTTACCCTCAGTAAGCCATGTAAAACTCATTCCTACTTTAAGTTTAGAAATAATGTACTCCCGGTTTACTGTAAATCTGTAATTAGCCGCCTTAAATGGTTAAATGGGTGAGCTTCTACATATACAACTCACTCCTTGCAATAGCTTTTTACAGAAATCGTTAGTTATGCAAAGTTTAAATGAGAATAGAGATAATTGTTCATCAACAACATTTATAAAATGAACATTTACGTAGAGAGATTATACTCTACCTTAAAATGCTATAAAACCATATACATAGAGAAAGTATGAAATGTATGGAATAGTTTTTCTTTTGTGCAGACGTTTGAATGCTATAAAACCATACACTCTTCTTTAGGAAGCTAAGTGTGAAATGTTCTTCACAAAAATGAAACATAGAGAAAGTATGAAATGTTAAAAGTAAAACTCTCAAATCTTCTGTTTAGTAAATTGATTTTAATTTAATTTTAAAAGATACATACCTTCTCTTGCTTGATGTTTATATAAAGGAGAGCTAGCTAAATGAGTCTCTCCTATCCATGCCCTCTGACCCATTAGAAATGAGCCATCTTCAAATAACATAGAAACACATCAGTTTGAAATTGTGGATGATCGGCAATAAATCTAATCTTCATTAAAAAGAATGTATATTTTCATGAATATAGTATATAACCAATCGTGTAAAAAAATCGACATACCATTTTTTGTGAAGAAACTCATCCTTGAGTGGAATAGTTTTTCTTTTGTGCAGGCGTTTGAATGCGGGAACACTTAGAAAGATTCATGTGATGGTGGAATAGATTTTATAAGCAGCCATCGAAATTCAAAAAGTAAAGGGTTTAATATGTAGTCTTTAATGCATCTAGCTAGAATACATGAGATGTATCTATTCATCTCAAACATGGCCACTTGGTATTTGAAAAGCCAACTTCCTATTCTACCTTGAGAACATAAAAAACTCTGTAACAACTTCCAACTGTCATATTTTATTGCATTCTATAGAACCTTGAAAAGATAATCAATTGCTTCTAAATTGTCTGCCCAATTTCAGTTCCCATGTTAATAAATAATTGTGCAGTTTATTTTTTATTAAACAAAACAATAAATTTTATAGCAATTAATGGATCAAATTGCTACAGTATTCCCGCCCAAATTATAAATGATGTAACTTTTCAGGAATGAGAATTACTAAGGCAACCGGGATTCACCCAAATGCTTTAATAGGATTTAATATTAGTTTTTTCCCAATAATTATGAATACGATGTCGCTAATATATTCCAACTCCGGTTAAGGCAGTGAGAACGTGGGTTTTGTTACGTGTAACTCCCGTTACAGCTTACATTCATCTACCGAAAACTCCGTTGAATATCAAGACATCACAACCGTATAATATAAGACCGAATAAATTTCTATTCTCGTTACTATATATGTTTATCCTCTAATGTTCATAGTTTAGACCTCAACATTAATTGCAAGCATAAACTAAATTTAACATACTTCTATGTTGTACACCATAGACATAAACAATCAAAGATAAATGATAAATCACAATTTATTGGTTTACATTTTGAACAAGATGAAAAGTTAATTGCCAAAGTTTTTTTTTTTTTTTTTAAATATTTAGCCTTTATATATTAATTTATTCATAAAGAAATACGGAGTAGTTAACTATTGAAGTATAAATCATTTTATATTTGAAACTTTTTATTGTTTTTGACTTTGATTTATTGTATTTGTTTTTATAATTTTTGGAGATAAAGTTTATGTAAAATGAAAGCTATAATAATTTCATGCAAATAGACATGTGTACTAGCTATTAGGTTATTGTGGGGCGGACCCACCTGCATAAGGCGGGTCATGAGACAAAAAGAAGCAGAAGCAGAATCTGCTTCTTTCTTCAAGCGGGTCTCCTTCAGCTTCTAAAAAACTGATTTTAAGAGTAAATTAGAACATAAAAAATACTTAAACACTTTCACTCAAATATTACAATTTTAAAAATCAATCCACCTCTAATTCTAGCGAAAAAAAAAATAGAAGCAGAATCCATTTCGAACTGCCATGAATTGTTTTACTGTTTTGGTGGAATCGTAAAAAAATAAATCGATTGAACTCTACATCAATCATGTCGCTTGACGGGATCCCTTCCCGGTGGCGTTTATAAATCGTCAACGTGAGATTAGGCAGTACTTTACAGGCGTGTGAATGACCCGCGTATATTAAACGTCTCAGGTGACCGACTCCTACATTGGAATTTCCGCTTTGAAGTCTGAATCACTGCTGTTTGGCTTCGAAGTGAGAAAAAAGAGGGATGGGAGGTGATTTGGAATCGATAGCGGAGGCCACCTCCGGAGCCATTGGAGCTGTAGTCAGCACCACCATCTTGTATCCACTCGATACCTGTAAAACCAAGTACCAAGCCGAGCTTCAATCTCATGGTCAGCGAAAATACAGGTCATCTTTTATGTTTTCTCTGCTCTAGTTGTTTTGCTTTTGCGTCCGATCATTAATTATGTTTTATTAGAGGATATTGCTGTTCAAAGAGATTAACTTTTTTTAGTAAACATTCCTCTTTGTTTGTTTTCTTGAGTTTTTTATTTGCTAGCCGCCATAAAATGCTAAGAATTGGACTTTCTGTCGGCTATGGAGGTTAAGTTAGATTTGAACCATATTTCGAAAATTGAAGTCTTTATCATGTTGACAAGCTTCAGCTTGAAACAAAGATGCAATTGTTATTGATCTTTATTTTGTTTTATATAGTTTAGCTATTATATTTGGTTTACTGGTGCATATATAAAATTTACATCACTATATGCTTGCGCAATTATTCCTTATTATAAAGTTTACACTTGTTTTAAGGTATTATTTTGAGGTCTTCCTATGGAGGAATTACATATGCTTTGAACCAAAACATGATACCTCATCTGCTAGCGTAAACCTCCAACGAAATGTACCATTCAGTTGTGTGATGTTTTTCAAATATGTATATATTGTGAACACTTCATACTTTTGAACAGAAAAGTTTTTTTTTCTAAGAGAATGTAGTATTTTCTTGTAATACGTTCACTCATTCACTAGTTAATGCGTAGCAGACAACCCACAGCTCTTTTTATCATGATACTGCTCAAAGCTTTCATGGTTTTAGGTGCCTGTTCATCTACCAATTTACCATTCATCATTTGCTGCATAAAGAAATAGCGTGCTGGTATTACCTTGTGCGGTAATCTGCACACTTCAACTCCATCTCAAAGGGACAAAGGCATGTAGCCTGCCATACATCTCTTGTTGCTTAAGTCACTTGAACTGGAGTCAATCTAGATCCATGGGCTTTATATCTTAACAGTGTAGACCTGAGTTATTCTTTTGGTAAAACAGAACTTATTTACATATTTCTGCAAGTCAAAAACAAGGTTTCTTATGCCCTTTGCAGGAATATATCAGATGTTCTTTTGGAGGCATTATCAAAGGGTCGGTTCCTTTCATTGTACCAAGGTCTTGGAACGAAGAATCTGCATTCGTTCATTTCCCAGTTTGTTTATTTCTATGGGTATAGTTACTTTAAGAGACTCTATTTGGTAAGAAGTGGTGGTAGATCCATCGGAACAAAAGCCAATCTGATTATTGCTGCTGCTGCTGGGGCTTGTACTGCCATTGTGACTCAAGTAAGATTGTTATTTTAAAATGTTTTTTCTTTGATTACAAAGCTACTATCTTAACTCATTACTCTCCTTATTTTTATGCATGTGAAAGAGACATATGTTGATGCCTTTTTGAATTCCATCTCATTATTCCTTCTTTTGAAGGTTTCGACCATGGATGGACACATCCCTGATTTTGATGGATGTTTTTGTGGTATTTCCTTTTTTGGAGGTTCAAAACACAAGAATGTTTGATATTGATCAAGTATTGATACATTGATAACTACAGCCCTAACAATCAGCATGCCTTTATCCGAAATCGATGAGCTCGGCTACATGAACCAACAGAAAACCTACCAAGCTCATCAACCGAAACTGTTTTCCCACCTTTCTTGTCATGTGCCATAATCTTGTTAAGCACTTAAGCCCCAACGCTCTAATATCCCTTTACACCCCTATCCATGTCATTTTTGGCATTTTCAATATTTTCGTTATGTTTAATTTTTCAATGATATTAAAAATATTCAGCTATTCTCATTAAAGTTAAACTCCGTTATTTCCTTCGATACTGATATTCAACCTTGGTTTTAATCTAAAAAATATAATGTTTAAGCTTTGCCCCTATTTTCGTGCACGGACCTATGTAGTTAAATTATTCTAGACAATTATGTAATTTGATATTAAATTTTATGCTACTGGTCCAATATTAGACCTCATTGCAGCTAGGGAAACTACTCAAAAGAACATAAATGAGTTGCTTCTACTTTAATTGCGGTAGGAGTATTATATTTTTCAATGTCTTGATGATTTGAGTGTAACTGTTTAGCGTGGCTCTCTTTATGTGTTTTTGAGTCTTTGCAATTTGCATGTGTAAGTGGTAATGAAATCCTGGGTTTTAATTGAAACCTACTTTAACTCTTAAATGTATCACAATTTTCTGAAAACAGATGGTGTGGATGGATGGGTGCAGTGCTTAGAGAAAGTAGGTTCATAAGAATGATGCTTGAGTTTGCATAACCAACAATTCAGTTTAGCTTAATTAAGAATCATAATGTTTAATTTTTTAATATAGAATAAAATGTTTTCTGAATATATTTTCCTTTTGCATCATGACACAATTTGAAGTACATCTAGTGCCTAGCATGTCTACAGATCACATGAAAGAGTCTCCTCTAATATGCTCACTCTCACGCTCAACTAAAAGGATCTTGATGGTAATTATATGTTTTGTAGCCACTGGATACTGCATCATTAAGGATGCAAACTAGTGCCTTTGGGAAGTCCAAGAGCCTTTGGAAAACTCTCACTGAGGGCAGCTTGATCGAAGCATTTGATGGTCTTGGAATATCGCTTTTATTGACATCCAACCCTGCTATTCAGGTCTGTTTGCCTTTCTGTCAACATATTTTATGAAGAAATAAACTGCGGCGTGTTAGGTATCGTCTTACAATTTTAATAGTTATTTAATGTAAGATATAGGTTGTATAATGATTTTTTATCTAGCCATTTTAAGAGTTACTCCCTCGTGATGGTGTCTTGCAAAGTTTGTCACATCATATTTGGTACTATTTGTGTAGTTCAAATTCATTAATACTTATTCACACTCCACAAACTCATTATCAACCGCATATTCCACTTCTCTGTATAAGCATGTCACTTCCACGTGTCCAAATATTTGGTATCATTTGTGTAGTTCAAATTCACTAATACTTATTCACACTTTACACATTCAATATCAACCACATATTCCAATTTTCTATAAAATCGTGCACTTCCACATGTGCAAATCATAGTGGGACAGAGATAGTATATGATAATAATCATAATATATTAATATGGTATAGGTTATGCAATGAATTTAAAATTATTCAAACTTTTTCTAAATTAGTAATAATGTTAATTTTAAAAATTGCCAATAAAAACTTAATTTGCTTTTCATAATAAGCGTGAGTTTAGTTTTCAAAAAAACATAAAGCAGAAAACAGAAATTGATGCCAAACAAGCCCCTAAATGATGGATTTCTGACAATCTCTATGAACTTGTAAAGAATTTATATTGCATTATCAACTCTTCATGTGTTTTAACTAGTTAATCAATGAGCCAAATCTAGATCTCATGTCATGCCATCTCATGCAGTACACAGTTTTTGATCAACTCAAACAACATCTGCTGAAAGACCAACACACATCAAATGGGAAGAAGGGTTCATCATCCCCATTAGCCCTTTCTGCATTCTCTGCATTTTTATTAGGTGCACTCTCAAAGAGCATTGCCACCATCATTACTTTCCCAGCCATTAGGTGCGTCTGCAAGCTTGATGACCCTTTCTTATGTTCATTTGTTCAACCATATGAAAAGCTAATATTTAAAAAAACTCCTGAAACTGCAATCAGGTGCAAAGTTATGATTCAAGCCGCAGACACGAATGATGGAGGGGATAATAAGAAATCCAAACGAAAACCATGCAAAACACTGCTTGGTGTTGCTGGCTCTATCCTTAGAAATGAAGGGATTCTCGGTTTCTTCAAGGGATTACAAGCTCAAATCTTGAAGACGGTGCTAAGTTCTGCATTGCTCCTGATGATAAAAGAAAAGATTTCTGCTAAAACATGGGCACTCGTTCTTGGACTCAGTAGGCTCATCATTGTCAACCAGAGGAGGCTAAAGAACGCATAGCTGAAATGCAGCAGATGGTCTTTCAAGAATCAATCTGCATGCAAGGGGTTTTATGGTAAACTTGGAGAAAAGTAGGAGACAAGAAGACACTTTTTTTTTTGGGAATACACATCTTCTGGTCATAAATGTCAAGTCATGAAACTCGACTAAATAGAATAAATTTGACCGATGTCCATGATTTCTTTATTATTGAATTAGAGAGGTAAGAGTCATTGATATGAAAGTCCAGGGAAACATTATAAGTTTATTATTATATAGGCAGATATTCTCATTTGGCACACATTCATTGGATGATGATCACACATCTAGCTCTTTTCACCCAATGAGGTTATGAGAGTGTGCCAAATAAGAATGCCTCCATATAATGCACTATAGTGTACATTTTTATGTCTCCCTAGAGGCCTGGCCTTACCCCTCCACCTTTGAGCTGCTGGATTCAGCATTGGTTTGCTATGCTAATTTAGATACATTCCACATCCCGAGTACTGGTTTGTTCAGTATTGGCTTCATTTAGAGAATTGGAGATGCTCTATGAAAGCTTTTTCACGAATCTAATCCTCAAATAAAATTCCCGGTCATGATGTGTAACCCATTGTTCAGTTTTCCAACAAGTTATATTGACCATCAACGCGAGTTACATTTGTAATAACATGAGTTACATCAAGAAATTGACTCTTGCTTATTGAAACAAAAAATGATTTAAAAAAAACCATTTTCTATGGTCATGATATTAAAAAGTAAAAACAAAACATATTCACAATATACCTAAAGCAATTGTGCAATTAGATTCTTTTTTTTTCATTGTTTACATTGAAATCAATATTTTTATTTCTTATACTTCCTCCGTCCATTATAACTTTGCCAACTTTCCTTTTTTGGATGTCCCATTGACTTTGCCGCTTTCCCATTTAAGTAAAGAATTTGTGGTTCCAGTTAATTCTCTCTCCTCTGCACAAACCTCAACCACACAATTTTTACTTTATTAATGCTCGTGCCGGTCAAACTCGGCAAACTTATTAGGGACGGAGGGAGTACTATGTATGTGACAAGTTACACTTCGAATGACTTGATTTACATTGATCAATAATGTGAGTTACATTTCTCAAGTTACTCATTCATGCTCCTGAAAAAAAACAGTTAATATAGACATGTGGAGCATGATGCTCTGGGATAGATCCCATGCTATACGAACTAGGGGTGGGTTCGGTTCTTTCGGTTCGGTTTTGACCTAAGACCAAATACGGAATCAAAGTAAAAGTTCGGTTCGGTTTCGGTTCGGTTTTACACTCCAAAACATGGAACCACGGTTTGATCGGTTCGGTTTGTTTCGGTTCGGTTTTTTCGGTTTTTTACTAAAAAAAATTGTCGTTTGATTTAAATTGATATAAAAGTTAGAGGGATCAAACATATTAAATAAAAATGCAAGCATACTTGAACAAATAAAGAAAATAATAATAAATAAATATGTCTTGAATTATATGAGTATGCGAGAGAGATAAAAGTGTATATATATTCTTAATTTACATTATTTGTGACTAGTTTAAAAAACATTTATGAATACATATACGTCCTATGTGATATAGTTGAGATGAATATTTATTTAATTTTTTTTTTTGAGAGTGAGATGAATATTTATTTGTTTTATCAATTTAAAGAATTTAAGTTACAAAAAAATTAGGTTACATAAAAATAAAAGTTAATTACTACTAATAGCTAGTAAAAACATATAATCATGCAATAAATTGCAACATACATCCATAGAATACATAATAGATCAATATAGCTAGCTACATTATTATGGGCAATGAATGTGTAAATGCATTTGTGAACTAAACTAAACTAAACATAGCACAAACATTATTTCTCTAGCACAAGAAATTCAAAGATTATTGATGATATTAAGATTAATGCTTACATTTAACAAATAAAATTTCATACTTTATTTTCGTTCGGTTTGTTCGGTTCGGTTCGGTTTTGAAGGGTAAAAACCAAAACCGAACCAAACTACTACGTTTCGGTTCGGTTTTTTACATTCGGTTTCGGTTTTTTAGCGGTTCGGTTTATTTGGTCGCGTTTCGGTTTAATTTGATTCGGTTTTCGGTTTTCGGTTTTTCGGATCCAGCCCTAATACGAACCGATTGAATTGCGAGAAGTGGTATTGAGTATTGACTATTGACTACGGAGTATATTTTTTGCAACTGGGCAATGGAATATCAAACGCGTTCTATATCCAAACATAGCGCATTGTGTTACAACTTGCTTGTTTGGTTCAGCTGTAGCATTGGCTAATTGATTTCCTCATCCGGGTTCGACCCCCGGCAGCTGAGTATTTTTTTTGACTTTCTATTTTGGCCCCAGGTTTTATATAACTACCTCCATAACTTAAAAATCTTCCCGTTTCAAAAGTAGGTAAATTAAGAATAGTGAAAGAGGATATGAATTATTGAGAGTATGATGGGAAGATAGTTGAATAATGTGATGTAATGTAGGATAAATCCAAAAAAAGTAGTTGTAATGGTGTATTATTTTTAGAATTATTGATGGTATGATGGGAAGATTTAGAAGTGAGAAGATTTTTTTGTTACGGACGAAAAAGGAAAGTGTGAAGTGATAATATCTTCTCTTATTTATTCTCTTATTTTCAGAAAAATAATACTCCCCCCATCCCGCTAAAATTGTCTCGTTTTACCTTTTCGGGAAATCCCACTAAAATAGTCCCATACCACATTTGGTAAAGTTTGTGTGGCTCTAAATCATTCTTACTTTATTCTTACTTTATCAATTTAATATCAACCACACAAACCTATTTTTCTTAATAATTGTACCGCCTTCTCTTGTCCCAATCTTAGTGGGACGAAGGTAATACTCCGTAATCAATATAAATATATAAAAGAGGAGCTTTTTAAGAGCATACAAAGCGTCACATAATCTTGACATGTCTCCCATCATATATTTTTATTTATTCTATTAGATTCTATTTTTTAATGCATATTGATATGGAAACAAAAAGTTGTATGATAAAAATCAACCTTATTTGGTAACTTTTTCAAAAATCTTTTACGTAATTGATAATTATTGGAACACAACAATTAATAACCAACCTACACTTAGACTACAATTTATACGGAGTACCTTTTATAAGCATGGAGTAAAAATTATTTGATTATTTTTATTCTTTTTATTTTTGTTACATTCTATTGACGAATGAAATATCTTTGTTTTGCTATTTATTTTGTCTTCAAAATTATTTTATATAAAAAATTTAATAATTGTGTCCCATTTCCTAAAATATACTCCATAATATTTTACTCTTCTAAACTCAATGTTGAAATCATGATTAAAATTCTAAGCCACAGATTTGCAATTGTATTAACACTTCATATTTTTTCTGTCATATTTATATAATTTTTTCTTTATTTTACAAATGGAATATATTTTAATTTTGTTCATGATTCAGGAGATTCCGTCTATTCAGCCCATTAAATCAGCTTTAATCAGTTTCAATAAAATAAGCTTATTCCACCTATTTTAGTATCATCAAACGAACTCTATATTTAGACTGAATTTATTTTTCTTTTGCATCACATTATATTTGATTCCAAAAAAATCATATTCAAAATTAACTAAATTATGTACTACCCGTGCATCACACGGGCTTGAAATATAGTATTTTAATATTTATGAATTGTTGGATTCTTTTAGAGTAAGTGAACTACGAAAACAATATAAAAACATAACTAAATAAGGAGTATAAAGTCATGTATCACTGATTCACTGTTGTATAAATAATTAACTATGTATGATATGTTTTTTTATACAATGTTGTACGTAGTAGCTTTTATGGCCAAATTGAAACAACCAATTGTTTGTGCCTTGTGGATAGTAAACAACTTATCAACGACAACAAAGTAGGCAAAATTCTAAAATGGCCTCCAATTTTTTTAATACCAAATTACGTTTAAAATGATCAATATTATGAAATAATGGCCTGTATATTACTATTAGACTATTCAATCCCAAAAGTATAACCTTTTTTCTATTTCCCTAAAATATGACAATTGTTATTAAAACATACGGACCATCTAAGAAAGAGCACATCTCCATATCTCCTTCGTATCATCTGTTTCGCATCATCTGCTTCTTATCATGTGGAGATCTAAAACACAGATCCGACATCATCATTCCTGTGAATGGCATCTGCTTCGCATCATCTTCTCGGAAGGGGAGCTCGGAAGACCTCCCATGGCATCATCGTCGGCCGTCTCCTTCCGTTTCCATCTCCCTACCCACACCAATCCTCTTCTCCTTCTTCAATTTCTTTCCAATCGTGGGAAGTCTATCGAAGGGACATTTACCTAATCGATGGGGCGAAGAGACGATTTTGAGATCTAGATCTGGGATGGCGGATTGGCGGCTATGGTTATGCTAGGGCGGTGGTAGGGATGGTGGGGTCGTGGCGGGGCTGGCTAGGCTGCGTTGGGTGTATTTGCTGGATGGGGGCAGCGGTATAAGGAGGGCTGGTCATTCTCCGCCGCCGCCGGCCCGGAGCTAGGGAGGTGGTTCTCAAAGCAGAATGGCGCAGGGAGGGGAATAGATCTGGCATTGGCCTTGGGCTGGGGAGAGGACCGGATTGGGTTGGGGCTGATGGGGGCAGGGCAGCGCTAGGTGGTGGCGGTCATTGGGTGACACTAGCGGTCGACGGTGTTACTGACCGAGTTGGGCGGAAGTCACTGGACAGTGACCGGAGTTGGGCTGTAGTCACCGGATAGGGACCAGATTCAGTGACCGGAGTTGGCCGTTGGTCATTGAGTGACGGTCACTATGGTGGAGCAAGTCACTGAGCGACGGTCGTTATGGCGAAGCAAGTCACTGAGCGACTGTCACTATAGCCAGAGCAAGTCACTGAGCTATGATCACTATGACCGGAGCAAAGTCACTGGGCGGTGGTGCGGCATGACTGCTGGCAGCGCCGTTGGTACGACCGTTGTTGTGGACAGCAAAAGAATCTGTTTCCTATTTTTCAGTATTAAATTCATTAATGGCCTTTTTAGTTTAGGTGGTGTTAAATGGATTAGTGTGCAACGGTTTAGTGCATAACAGCTGGCAGTCATATTTTTGACTTTTTGAAACTTAACCCTCTTTATTGGAAATCCATTAATTAATTGTAATATTTGAATAAAAAGGCCCAATATTATTCAGGTACTCTTAAGTAATAAACAGTCTCAATCTCGATATATTCATAATAAACTTATTGTTTGTGCCTTGTGGAAAGTCAACACACTATCGCGAGTTTAGGTTATACATATATAAGTCTTTTACTTTAATAAATTGCAAAATGAAAATAGTAAAAATTAAGAGACATTAAAGAAACAATTTTGGCCTTTTTATTCCAATATTACTAAAAAAACAGACAAAAGATAAAAATGTGACATCTTTTTCAAAATTCTAAAAATATGACCTTTTCACAATTAAACCCTGCAGTGCAAATTGACTCCAGTCAAAGTGACTTCGTCGTCACAGTGACCCACTGCCATAGTGACCCGCCCCCACAGTGACCCTCCACCACAGTGACCCTCCGCCACAGTGACCCGCCGCCACAGTGACTCCGACCACAGTGACTGTCGTCTAC